ACCCACATGCATTTTTATATATTTTTCATATTTACATATATATAATATATATAAATATATAAAATATATAAAAAATTGATGTGGGTACTCAAATGAAAGGTCTTGATGAGTATAACATCGGGATGAGCTTATATCCTTAAAAATGTAAATATCTCACAAGATACAAGGTAATTTCTTAATTAAGTATCTAGAGATAAAGCATTTCCCAATGCACCGTAAGTACTTATCATCATAAATTGACTATTGGTGAGAATGATATGAAACCATGAAAAGGCACAACTAGGTCTCGAATTTTCCAACGATACCAAAGTTAACCATAAAAAGCCATTTTATCATATAAATTTACTGGCCACAAAATTTTGCATATTCTCTTAATGATCTAGATTATTATTATTGTTATTTTTTCATTACTAAAAACTACAAATTTTGCAATTAATAATATTAATCAAAATTTTATTTATAAAATTAAACTGATACTCTTAAATATTTTCTTACCCTAAAAATTAAAAATCAAAACTATCGATTCCCGTACTTAATTATAAAGTAATTATTTAAATAATGTAAAAAGAAAAAAAATCAATGGCAAGAATTAACTGGGTCATTTTATTTCAATTCAAATATTTATTTAGGAATAGAAAATTAAATTCCCTTTTTTCATGCAACCACAAACTTAGTAATCATTTTATCTAAAACTTTAGCATGAGAAATTAAAAATTTTAATTAAAAAATAAACTTATTCATGCAAAGTCATGAAACAGTAATTAAAAAAAATGTTTTTTTTTTTTTCTATTTCTTTAGCCATTTTATTCCAATTCAGCGGCACGAAATCATGCATTGCACTATTAAATAATATTTTTTTTTTACATTGTCTGAATGAAAATTATTTTCACCAAACAAAGAATATTATTTACGGGAATAATGAGCGTATGGATCATGTAATTTGGAGAGAAATTTAATTATAACTTTCAATCAAGTACGCTGTTTGATTGTCTACTCGAACAATGTTAATTTAAAATATTATAATTACTATCAAAAATATGACCTTAATAAAAAAAAAAAACTACATTTAAATTTAATTATTCTCTCAAGTCCAATTGACTTATCTCTAAATTTATTCTTCTATTTAAAAAGTCTATTAATCAAAAATAATTACTTATAAAAAATGCAAGATCTTGTGATTAAAAACTTTGATACAAAATCAATGCTCGGAGCTTAAAAAAAATTTTATACAAACAAAAATTCATTAGGAAGTAATTAAGACACAGTTTATTTATTTACGTATTTATTATCAATAATAATAATATTTATACAATGATACTTATTAGTGGGAGCGGGTAGAGTATTAATTTGTTAAATATTTCGAATAACTATAACATTAATAAAGCCGAAGATTAGTGAAAATTTTAAAGTTGTCCCAAGTTATAATTTAAGTCGTAGATTTAACGTAATTGAACTTTAAAATCGTTATTTGATCCGATTCAAACCGATAAGGAGTGAAAATGAGTAATCAAAACTATTCAGATTGACATTATTAAAGATATAAGTTCATCCCGATGTTACACTCATCAAGAGCTTTTATTTGAGTACCCACATGCATTTTTCATATATTTTTCATATATACATATATATATAATATATAAATATATGAAAAATTGATGTGGGTACTCAAATGAAAGGTCTCGATGAGTGTAACATCGGGATGAGCTTATATCTTTAAAAATGTCATTAGTCGACAAGACAGCAATGTCAGTTCTTAATTATTGACATTTTTAAAGGTATAAACTCATCCTGATGTTAGACTCATCAAGAGCTTTCATTTGAGTACTCACATGCATTTTTGATATATTTTTCATATATATACATATATATAATATATATAAATATATAAATTATATATAAAAAATTGATGTGGGTACTCAAATGAAAGGTCTCGATGAGTGTAGCATCGGGATGAGCTTATATCTTCAAAAATGTCAATATTTCACCGTATAAAACGTCATTTCTTATTGATACGTCTCCAATAAGTCGAATTAACGGTTTGAACGTTCAATTCATTGAATCTACGACTTAAATTTCGACTCGGAGTGTTATTTATTTAAAATTGTATTGCTAATTAAAATACATCAACAGTCTCATAAATTTACGTCGTGCTTAATTCGAGATAAAAATAAAAAAAATAAAACAAATAATAAACGTACTTTTGATCCATTTTTTGAATGGTCTCAGACATAGACAATGTCTGAGCTTCCAATTTGACAATAACTTCAGTTTTGTGCTTAAGCGAACTCTCGCAGTCCTGAAATGAATTTTTACAGCAAATAGTTTTTTTATTTGGCCTTTATCAATTGATACAAATTTAAATTCGAGATAATAGCAATGACAGTTAAAATAGTAATTGTTAGATAATGATCGATTGATTTTAGCTTAAGCCTAAGACAACAGAATAAATGATTTGTAACATTAAAACAAAGTTTAATTGCGAATCTCAGCGTCTTTGTCATCAACTTCTACTTTAGCGGCTTTCTCCGCTCTGAAATCTCTGTCCCGGAAAGTCCCAAGCTCAGCAAAAGGCGGTGGCTTTGGAGAAAGCGGGCTTATTTTAACAAAACTTTTTGTTGAACTAGGCGTTGTTGGCGTTCTCCCATCGCTGTCTTTCATTAGGTGGTTATACTTTTCTAGATTGTTTAAGATTTTACCGATTTGGTTGGTTTTTGCGTGAAGACGGCTCACCATCTCACCTTTTTGCGTCAATTCCACCTCGCATTCCTACAAATTCAATTATTTATACATCCTAACAATTATTATCTACTGATAAATCAATAAAATCCTGCTAAATAAAGGGTTAAGTCACTCAAGGAATTTTTATTATTGTAAAAGATTTTGTGAAAAAATTTTTTTGATATAGCCAATTTTCATACCAGGCCTTATAAGGTTTAATCTGGTGATGAAAGATCTTATTTCTGCTTATATGTGGCTTTATATGGTCATATAAATTTATATGAGGACATATCAAAACCTATTAAATTTTATAAATCGAAATTTTAGGCCATATAAATTTTTTCACAATATAAAATCAATAAAAAAATAATCCACCTGTAATTTTTTGTACATTTCCAAATTAATCAATTTTATATCCTCCAATTGTCTTCTTAGGGAAATAATAGTGTCTTGTTTTTCGTGGATATCTTTCTCCAAAAGTTTCATTGCAACTTCCATCTCAGATTTCATACTAACCTGATTAAAAAATAATATTAATCTCTTTGTTTCTTAACTTAAAGAGGTCTTCTGGTTTTACGTCCTGATTTCTGGGATTTTTTTGTAAAAATTAATGAAGAGATAGAACTTTGAACTTTTTACCATTTATTAATACATATTTCAAGAGTATACAGTTAAATTTTTAACTAAAAAACTTAACATTCAGTAGAATTAAAGTTATAGTGGTCTGAAGACACCCTTATCAAAAAATTATCAAAAAAAAAATGAAATTTTGACTTTTTTGTTCAAAAGTCTGTCAAAAATCCAATCTTTAAAATTTTTATCGAATCGGTGTCTTCAGACCACTATAACTTTAATTCTACTGAATGTTTTTAGCTAAAAATTTAACTGCATACTCTTGAAATATTTATAAATAAATGGTAAAAAGTTCAAAGTTCTAGCTCTTCATTGGTCTTTACAAATAAATGCTCAAAAATCAAGGCATCAAACCAGAAGACCCCCTTAATACTTTTATAAGACTACAAAAAACAAAAACCTGTAAAGCCAATTCCTTTTCGACGTCAGATCTTAATTTTTTTTCACTCTCAAGCCTGCTTCTCAATTCCTCAATTTCTGAAGTAGTTTCGGTGATTTTAATCGGGGTTTTTCCCGTCTAAAATTAAATCCAAATATCAAAGAATGCTTTAATTTTAAAATAACCAATTTCTCAACAATATTACCTCAACAGTGTCTTTAACTTCAATTCCAAGTTCTTTCTTCAACTGTCGATTTTCTTCTTGTATCGACAGAATATTATTGCGCGCTATTGACAGATCTTCTTTCATTAAAGCATTCGTCGTTGTCAGAGATTCAACTTTTGCTTGTAAATTTTTAACTGTAGCGCTAAAAATGAAACATCAAATTTAGATTCTGATTTCCTTTTTGTTTTATTAATCACAATGTCAGATTAATTGGTATCAGGTGTTAAATATTACACAAAATCCATGATAAAAAGGCACAACACTGTAAAATCGTGCTATGAATATTTGAGTTGAGTTTCAAAAGGGTATCTTTTCATTTTCGATTGATCGAGACAAAAAAATAGTTATCTTCAATTATAAATATTTTTATTGAACTTTGTTTAATTTATGTATAAAGTGCTATCGGTTATGAAGTTACAATTCGATTTTCATTTAGAAATCTTTATAATTCTCAAAGTAATTAATATTTGAAAGTTCAAAAAACTCCACGGAAAAAAGTAAACTAATAAATAACAGACGATTTATAATAAGTAATGATCAACTGCTAAAAATTACCATTTCAAACAGTAAAATCGTGATTTTACTATTTACTTTATAATATTTACCATTTAAAGATTACAATTTACTCTTTACATGGAAGAAAATACTATTTCAAACAGTAATATTCGCTATGTAAATGTCTAAAATGTTTAAGTATAATAATTAAGAATTCAGACTTTGATTACTATAGTGACAGCTATACTAATCACTTATTTTGGATATTAAATTATAAATTGTGGCTTTTATACTTTCTACATTGTTCTGTAATATTTATATTTTTGCCACCCCGATGTCCGCTTTACTGTTTGAAACTATAAAAATTAACCGGAATCCGAGTGAATATTACAGTTTACTTTTTCCCGTATGCTCTTTTAAAATACTAAAAGATACCCTTTTGAAAATCACCTCATTTTTTAAAATGCCATTAATAATTCGGCTGCCCAATTTTAAAACACAGTAACTGCAAAATTTTTATACCTGATTTTTTTTTTAGTATTGATGCATTTTTTATAACTTTTAAACCTTAATTTCAAGTATTTTTTCTTAAAAATATTTATATTTGAGTAGTTTCTATTCATAAATCAAATTTGTCATCAATTTGGCGGTCAAACTTTTTTTTAATAAGAAAAATTGAAAAAAATTTTTAAATGTTAATTACTGTGTTTTGAAATTGGGCAGCCGAATTGTTAGAATGAAATTAATAATTTTTTTTTCAAATTTATTGTTTTGAATTGTTTTATTAAAAAATTCAATTGTCTACGATATTTTGTCCGCGGGGATATTTTGTCGGAGGATCAAAAATCATGAAACCGATAAATTACTTCAAATGACGATTCAACTCTTCAATATAATTCTTCTGATCAAGCACAGTGGTCATATTATCGTTCTCTAGCTCTTCATCAGGAGAATCCCCGGGTATGTGATTGCTGTTGCGTAAATAGAGCGAAAAATCGATGACCCCTTGCTGACAATCAAGATCTTCTTCCTAAATGACCAATCACAATTGAACAATTATTTTATTGAGAAATGTTGTACAAAACTCGGTTATTTTTTACCTTGACACAAAAATTGCAATCAATAACATTGAGACCAACAAGCAAGCCCATGATAACAATAGCTTCTTCGCTCATCATCAGAGCGTCGGGTTCAAAATATTCTGATAGTAAATCATCGCGGTGGTCGATAAGAATTTTTAAGTAGTCCGCTAATTTTTTTTGCATCAATGCCATTCGTAGCCAAGCCCGAGCTCTACCCATCGCCGTTCTATAATTATGTAATTATTAAGCATTGAAGGTTTAATTAAATTTATTTAATCAATTCAAGTGACCCCGTACCTCACAGTAGGCAAGTCGCGGATGCTCGCTGTGATATCTTGCGCTTCTGGACAGTATTTTTCGACTAATTGCAAAATGTCCCAAAGCTCCTTTTTTGGACCAAGAAGACCCTGGAATGATTAATATGATAATGAGGGTGATATAAATTAAAATTACGATTGTAGATCTACCTTTTTGGGTCTGAGACCGTGTCGCAAAACGTGCTCGAGGACGATGAAGAAATGCTGCAATGGCATGTGGTCCGAATCGAGCATTCTTCCGTATTTTAACGATGTTTCTATCAGTTCTTTTACGATTAGTTTTGATATATTTACTAAGTTACTTCGCTCGATTATTACTGGATCACGCGCTGGAATTTTAAAATATTTTTTCACCTTATTTTTGGGTTGATTTAAATTTTAATTGGATTTTTTAATTTTTAAACAGGAATTAAATTTTTTCATGGATATTTTTTAGAAAATTTAGTAATTTTTTATTGTTAAATTAATATCTAGCAATCTTGCAGTCACTATGTGACTGCTGTGACTTGTGAACTATTAATAAATAAAATTTTGATTTATTAAATAATGATTTTGTTAAATTGCACTGTATTTTCTTAAATATTAACGTTTTTAAGGATGTAAGCTCATCCCGATGTTACACTCATCAAGAGCTTTCATTTGAGTAGCCACACGGTATTTTTTATATATTTCATATATATGATGGTATTTGTGAAATATATAAATATATGAAATATATGAAAAATTGATGTGGGTACTCAAATCAAAGGTCTTGATGAGTGTAACATCGGAATGAGCTTATATCTTTAAAAATGACAATAGTTCATGAAATACAAGGTCATTTCTTAATTATTGACATTTTTAAAGAAATAAGCTCATCCTGATATTATATTCATCAAGAACTTTCATTTGAGTACCCACTTGCATTTTTCATATATTTTTCATATAAACATATATATATATATATATAATATATATAAATATATTAAATATATGAAAAATTGATGTGGGTACTCAAATGACAGGTCTCTATAAGTGTAAAGTCAGGATGAGCTTATATCTTCGAAATTGTCAATAGTTCACAAGATACAAGGTCATTTCTTAATTACTGACATTTTCAAAGAAATAAGCTCATCCTGATATTACATTCATCAAGAGCTTTCATTTGAATACCTACATGCATTTTTGATATATTTTTCATATATACATATATATAATATATAATATATATAAATATATAAAATATATGAAAAATACATGTGGGTACTCAAATGAAAGGTCTCGATGAGTGTAACATCGGGATGAGCTTATATCTTTAAAAATGTCAATAGTTCACAAGATGCAAGGTCATTTCTTAATTATGTAATATATATTTTGAAGATATAAGCTCATTCTGATGTTACCCTCATCAAGAGCTTTCATTCGAGTACCCACATGCATTTTTTATATATTTTTCATATACACATACATATAAATATATGAAAAATTGATGTGGGTACTTAAATGAAAGGTCTCGATGAGTGTAACATCGGGATGAGCTTATATCTTTAAAAATTTCAATAGTTCACAAGATACAAGGTCATTTCTTAATTATATATCTAAAGATAGAAGACTATTGGTGAGAATAATATAATATAAAACCTTGAAAAGGCATAAATTCAAGTCACGACCTTTACAATAATAAAATTTAATAATAAAATTACTAAAATATCATTTATTCAATACAAAATAAATAATTTTTGCCAGCACTGAGATTCAATCTGTCTAATTTAATAAAAAAAATTGAATATTGAGCTTTCACTTTTGACCTTAAAAAATTTTAACAACCTAGACAGTGATTGGACTCAAAAAAATCACATAAAATAATAAAAAAAAAAAAAAATCGATAAACAGATCAAAAATAATGAAAAAATGAGAGTATGAAGAAGCAGCACCAGACAAGTGCAAGTACAAGTAACAAGTAGCTGAACAATACAAACACAAGCTGAAGTGGTGAATTTGCGGTGGGCTTAGAATGTCGCAAAGCTCATTCTTAAGATCAGACTGCGAGCGTAATTGCCGTTGTTGATTTAATCTCAAACACGAGTCATTATGACGGTGATGAGTTTTTTCAATACCGCTGATAGCCAGAGGCGGTGAGGGGGACCTCTGCATCGAGTCCTGCATCGAGAACTCGACGTCCTGGAGCTCCTTGAGACAGAGCCACTCTCCGTCGACGGAGACCCGGAAATTGCACAAGTAAATTGTGTCCTGGGCACCGGCCATGTCCTGGTCAATCATCGCGCCTCCGTGCTGAATGTCACCCGGCGGACGAATTTTTGTGTTTGTTTCTTGCCTCATTAATCTTTCTCGTAAATTATTCTTAACAATTGTTACTTTATTTTCTTGCAGACTTTTATTTGCGACTCAGTTAATTTTCACAACACTTTTTTTTATTAATTATTGGAGATTTAACAATTTTACGCTCTGTGTTTTGTAACTAAATTTTGATATTGATTCCACTGAGCGCACTAGTGTCCTCTGTTTTAATCAATATTCGGGGAATTCCACAATTTTATTATTATTTATGGCTGCTGCCACCTATCTTATTTTTAAAATTTAAAATTTTTTTTTAAATATGACTTTTTATACTCACTTTTATTTTTTTTAGCTTCTTATAAAATAAATTAATTCTTTTTTTTCAATATTAAAATATTTTTTAATGAGTAAAAAATTTTTTACTTAATTACAGGGCTGTTAAATTTTTATTGAAATAATAATATATTTTTTTTTATTAATAAAGACCTCAATTTTTATATTTCTTTGGCATACAATAAAAAAAATTTTAAAAGAAAAAAAATACAAAAATGATCAAAGAAAAATGTTAAAAACAATCAAATAGGTTTTATTATAGTAAAATTTAGCTATACCGTATAAATATAAAATCATTAATTATCATATGAATTTCATTCAATATTATTAAAGATTTTTCTAGATAAACTTATTTTGGAGCTTCAAAGTATCAATAGTTATGAAAATGAAGTAAGCCGACATTTCAGAATTTTTAAAAATTTTTTATTGAAAAAATTTCAATTAAAAAATAAAAAAAAAAAATTTCACATGTAAAAAACTTAAAAAACTATAACTGCAATTTTTTAGAAATGTCTTTTTCGTTGTAATTTAATTAATAAAAAAAATCAAAAATTTTTAGACGTCTGCTAACTTCAGTGTCATCGATAGTTTACAATCGATAATTATAAAATATTTTAATTATGAAAATTAAGTTAGCTGACATATAAAAATTTTGAGAATTTTTTTTTTTATTGAAAAAATGATTAAAAAAAATAAAAAAAATCTTTCACTTGTAAAAAACTTGAAAAACTGTAAGTGCAATTTTTAAAAAGTATTTTTTTGTTTTAATTTAATTATTAAAGATAAAATAAAAAAAAAAATTAAAAACGTCGGCTAACTTTAGTATCATTAATTATTTATTTAAAATATATTATGTTTCTTATAAAATAGTTCATTATTTATTATTTAACCTAGTGATAATATTTTTAATTAATATTTATTTAAAAATAATGTGTACATGAATTAAAAGACAAATATTGTAGTACGAAATTAGATTTTGTTTCCAACAAAATTCCGAAAAATTATTAAAATGGTCTATAAGATACCTAAATATAATAGGTACTACAATATTTATATTTTAGTTTAAAAATATTTTAATCCATGAAATTACTATTATTTTTGAAAAAATATTGATTAAAATAAAATTATTATCAAGTTAAATAAAAACTAAAATATTTAATTAACCATTTTTTAGAATTGATTATTAATATGAATAATATATTTTATATTAAATGGTATTTCTATCGAATTAATGCAATAATAAATATTATGAAAATTTCACTTAAGGAATTTTTTTATTAAATTATTTTACACAATAATTCTACCATAAAATTATAACAAAAATTTCTGTCAAATAAATTTGTTTAAAAACAATATTTAGATACTAAAAACATTTTTTTTTTAAGTATGATTTTTTTTTATTTTAAAATTTTGGCGGGAAAAAATAAAATATGGCGACGAATAAAAGGTACCAACGTTCACCTCCAGCAATATAAATTTAAATGTAAAATAAAATAAGAAACAAAAAAAAAACTTACGTCGAGGCGACCACCAGGCATCGAGTTTCCTAGGCCGAGAAACTACAAGATCCGGCCACTTGTCCTCGCGGATCGAGTAGGTCGAAGGTGATCTAGATACCCCCTCGATATCGTCTGACAGCATACTCCCAGACAAAGATTTATCTGACGGCGACACAGCACTCGTATTTTCCGACATTTTTTTAATTTTCAAATTAATATTTTAATTATTTAAATAATTTAAATCACTTTTAACACCCACTATTTAATATATCTAATCACAAGTCATTTTATTCGCTATTATTTACAAACACGTCACAGTAGCACACACCAGATTGTAAACACTAGTGACCACTAGCCAGACATCTGGGGTCCCTTTTTTTTTAAATGGCGCCTTTGCAATTTTTAAAGTTTAAAACACTTCTTTTTATATAAATTCATTAATTTTATTCATTTTAATTTGAATTTTTTATAAATTTTCTTATAAATATTTTTTTTGTCTAAAAATTTATTAAATTTAAAATTTTTGAATTTTAAATTTTCGCGCGGAAATTTTATGCGCGCGCAGGCGCGCGCTGATTGGTCATTTCAAACTACTGACGCCATTTTGCCATTTTTACTCTAGTCTCCTGTGCTTACACACGGAAAGTTTATCTCTGTGATATTTTATTAATATTTGCAATAAATAATGACTTTTTTAATAATTTTTTGCAATAATTATGTTTAATAACTTTCTGGTCAATTATTTAAATAATAATTCCGGTGAATAAAAGTTTGAATAAATAAAAATACGTGAATTAAATCATGGATTTATTTCAAGTGTCACTTTATATTTAAATAAATTATTTTTATTAAAATTAATGAATTTTTTAAAAATAATAATATAGAAATTAAATTAGCCGACATTTAAAAATTTTGAGAATTTTTTTTTATTGAAAAAATTATTACAAAAAAATAAATAAAAAATTTACGCTTGTAAAAAACTTTAAAAACTGTAAGTGCAATTTTTAAAAAATATGATAGAAAAACTTGGCTGGTTGGTGAGTCATTTATAATTTTTTCAATTAATTAAATAATAATAAAAAATTGCACTTGTAATTTTTTTTTATGAAATGTAAGTTAGCAGTCACTTAACCTTTTTTTTAACAAATAAAGTTTTTTCAAAAAAATTGCATTTGTTATTTTTTAAAATCCCTACATATCAATTATATTTTCTTATTTTATTTTGCCAAAATTTATTTATTAAAAAAAATTTTTAAATTGTCAAAAATCTGCTAAATAAATTTTTAACGATACTAGAGTTAGCCGACATTTTTAATTTAAGTTTATTTATGAAAATAAAACTAAAAAAAAATTTTTTCAAAATTGCACCTGAAGTTTTTTAAATTTTTTACAAGTGAATTTTTTTTTTTTTATTATTTTGTAATAATCTTTTTATTAAAAAAAATTATAAAGATTTTTAGATGTCGGCTAACTTTATTTTCATTAATTTTCATATTTTTATTCAATAATTTCTTGAATAAAATAATTTTTCAATGTCAGCTGACTTAATTTTTAAATAAATTAAAAATATATTAATAGCAAAAAAATAAGGGTTTATTTTTCTAAAAATACTTTGTTAATTTCTGTCGGTATCAAAGAAAATATTTGAGCGCCATCTAGGGTTGATAAAAAATTAAACTGCGTTGTAAATAAAAGTAAAATTAGTTGTTTATTTTTAGTAATAAGCTAATAAGTAACATCGTAGATATTTATTATTAATTATTAATTAATAAATTAATTAAAATGGAAACTCCATCGGATGTGGATTGGGTGCAATTACGAATTGACATGGGAAGTGTGGACGAAGAAGATTTTAAAACAAAATTTAAGCGTAAAATTTTTGGCAATCCTTTGGTGCCGATAGGTAATATTTAACCTCAAATTATCAGTAATTATTTTTATTTAATTAAATTTTATTAATTGTTAGTTAGACAATAATGACAATTGTTGTAAGTAGGAGCGGCAGCGACGTCAATAGCTTTGATAACTGGTCTAGCATATCTGAGGGTTGGAAACAGCGCGATGCAGCAAATTATGATGAGGTCTAGGGTATCTGCTCAGGGTTTCACACCAACTGGTACTACTGATGCTGGTGCTAGTGGTTGTAAAAGTGATACTGGTGGAGGTGGAAGAGTTAGGACACGGGTAACTCTCTTAGAGAAGAGGTTACAGGCTCATCACTGTGGGAAATCGAGTGGCTGGTTGGTTGGTTGGTTGGTTGGTACCTGGTACGGAAAGTAGGAAGTATGTTGGAGTGACCCCAAGACCTGGAGGCTCTGGTACACGCTCTTTATTCCGGGGTTGTCAACCAACAAGAGGTAATGAGATTATTGTTTCAAGTTTTATTGCCATTAATTACCTTTGCGTTATAATAAGATCAAGGTTTAATGGCCATTAGGGTTAAAAATAATCAATTATAAGTGAAGAAGTTTGGTTGAATTCTACTACCTCGACCGTGAGATAGATAATATAGATAATGTGCAAACCCATCAAAACTCTTTTGAAGAGAACAAAAACATTTGCTTTTTCAGATTCTTACCAAGAATTCAGATTCTTCTTCTACCTGAGAACAACGAAGCCAAGGAAAGTTAAGTTAAATATAATAAGAACAAGAATAAAGTTGATTCAAGTTGGTGGTACAGAGAATCCATCTTTAAAATGACTTACCACAAACCTCTTTACTAGCCAACTTAGAAACATGTTGCTATTTTAATCACGATACCGAGATTCTCATTATTTTACTACTTACATTAGTTCCCGGTTTTCGCTTTCCCCACTACCTCCTCGACCTGAGCCATTATAGGCATTGCACATTATCCGAGTCATCTATAACTTGGATAGGTTGTTACATGCAGATACCCCGGAGGATATATTTGAGAAAAAAAAATTACCCGTCGAAATTTAGATTCAACGTATTGAACGTAAAAAGGGTTAATTGAACGTTCAAATTGTAAACTCAACGTTTTGAACAGTTTAATGTATTGAACGGAAAAAATATAGATTCAAAATTTTCAAAATAGAATAAATTCAACTGTTTTAAAAAAAATATATGATCCATAGTAAAAATCAAAAGTTACTAAGATCGTTATTCACATACTCAAAATTATCTTTCTAATTGATCATTTGGCGGCTGATAGACTCTTTTTAAAAGAAAAATCAGCTTGATAGCTTCTAAGGCCAAATTTTCTAGCTGTGAAAGTACCCAAAGATACTCCAAGTAACACTGGTTCTTAATTAAACACTTGGTAGTCTTCTTAAACAGCCACATACCTTCGAAAAAAAACCTTTTGGAAACCATTTCACAAGTTAAAAATTCGGACTAAGTATTTTTATCGGATGGTAGAATTTAAACCAAAAAACTGAAATTCTGCCTAGCAGAATTGAAAAAACATTATCGTACTTCCGTTTAAAAGCATCTAGTTACCTAAATAGTTTTTATATTACTTATTTTTACTCATTATAGGCTTGAATTGGTTAAACTAACGTTTTTAACGTTCAAATCACGATTTTAACGTTCAATCTACAATTTAAATTTTAACTGAAAAAATAAAGAAGACATGGTAGAAAAATAAAGAATAAGAATTGGAAAAAGTTGACCCTTTTCTCTCGAGCTTGAGAGTTGCGTTAATCAATCCTGACCCTCATATTTCAAGCCTGAGCTCTTACTGAGTATCTAGAGGGTGAGACTGCGCAGTTGCTCCTTGTCCGGTCTCTTGTACACTCTAGAGCACTTAACATTAAGAGCACTGTCCGCGACAACGGCACATCCAATTATAAGTACAAAATTCATTGTTTCTGGTGCTCTACACTACTTAGAGCACTAGGATAGTGTTCTCACCCCAAAATTCGTCGGTTGGTTGGTTGGTTGCTCCCTTGGCATCGTTCAGAGCCCCCCCGGTTGAACTGCTGCCAGATATTTTAACCCAGAGTTTGTCATGAAAACGCTCAAGGCGCCAAAAATTCTATGATTGCTGGTATATAACACATTCCTCCAACAGAAAAGGAGGAGAGAGAGTTAAGTATTTTGTCCATAAGTGCAGACTATCATTTTGGTATTGACGTAATGTGATAAATGTAAGCGCGTTTTAGATAAGCCAGCCAGCAAGAGACGATCACAAGGAATTTACAACGCCTGGGAGTTGAGAAAATAAGAAAAAGAGGTTTTGAGGTTTCAGATTATCGTCATTTCCTTCCTTGCCTTCGGACGTCGGTGCGTAAACGGTTCGAGTATTTTAACCAGCCCGTACTTAAGGGCTAAGTAAAGAGCGAATGGTTACGATGGAAAAGAAAAGACTTGAGTGTAACAAGGCACAGGTTCTCTACCTAAGAGTAAAGCTAAAGGAGAATTCAGAGCCAACGAGGAAATAAAATAAAATAACCAACCAACCAAGAACACAGTACTGAGTCCTCGCGGTTTATATCAGATCCCGTGATGAACGTACGTGACTCAACTTTGTTTCAAAGCCACTGAGAAGGGCACTATTTGCATTATTCCCCCCTGCAAAACTATCCTCAGATAGGCTCTAAGGCGCACATACGGTTGGCTGGCTGGCGAGCAAAGCGCAAGAACGACCACGCTAAATTACCATGGTTCAACGATATCGCTACGAACCAGAGATCCTAAGTAGGTGCAGCTTGTAACACACACTCGAGATCCAACGAGCAGCACGTAAGGAAGATACCACCACCACCAGCAACAATCATCTTCTTTTTCTGATGATTATTTATCCGAAGCTCAGCTTGTTAATTCTTGCTTAGGATTACCATTATCCTGATCTTCATGAAAATGATTATGGTGATGAGTTACCAGAAGCTGTCTATTTATTTAGATAAAATTCAGGTTTTCTGTTGGAAATTATTGGATTAGTTGAACCATTCTACGAAGAATGTTAAAGAAACCAATGGTCGCGTGCAAACCGCCCGCACACAATTCTCGGAGATCCAGAGTAGCAATGCTTGGAGAGATGAATACTGGTTTGACGATAACAATACCATGAATCGTTAATTTCAGGTCTTCAACCTACGCACTTGAAACCGGTAAAATTTAAGTTAGACAGAAATAAGATTTCTTGACTGGAGAACAAAATTTTTGGAGAAAATTTAAAGGAAGATTGAAGTTGTGTTGGCCGAAGATAAAATTTTTCGAAGTCATTTTTACACGCTTTTTATTAGCTTCACCTGTATGTTTGTATGTTTGTAACCGACTTCTTTGGGCGCAATTTTGACCGACTTTAAACGGCCAGATTTCGTTCAAACTTTGTAGATTTATCGAGGACCGATGACAATACACTAATATGATAAAATTATTCCATTTTTCAATTTGCAAAATATGATTTTTGTTAATTTATATAATTTTTATCTATAGTCGATAAGGTAAGAAAGTTAATTTTAATTTTTTATAATTTTTCTCTACAGTCGATAAGACAAGACTTGATGTTAATTTTAATTTCCAATAATTATCTTTAGCCGATTTCTCTAAGATTGACAAATTTTCTAATACTAAGCAGAATTTTAATTCTACAAAACAAATAATAGTTTAAAAAAACTAAAAAATCACGCTTTTATAAATAAACCAAACTAAAAAGTAAAAAATAAATAATAGTTTAAAAAAACTAAAAACACGCTTTTTATAGAAAATCAAACTAAAAAATAGAAAATAAATTTTAATAAATTTTAATTAAGAATAGTATTAAAAATTTTAAAAAATATAAATTAATAATAGTGTGAATAAAAAAATTATTATTTTATTATTTAATTTTTTGAAGCAAGAGAGAAATTTTCTCAAGACAAGAAAATTAACTTCTATCAAGAATTAAATTTTTTGGAGCTCGAGGCTGAATTTTCTCAACACAACAAAATTTTCTTGACTTAAATAAATTTTCTTGGATCAAGATCCGTATTTCTTAAAGCAAGAGAATTAATTTTGAAATTTCATGTAAAAAAAAATTTTTCCGCTCAAGAAAATAATTTTTTATGCAGTTAAATTATTTTCCCTAAATTTTTAATTTTTTTAAAAAGAAACATAACACCTCCCCTCAAAAATATTCTCTACATTAAAAAACCTTTTAGCGGGCGCCTTTTAGCTCCAGCCCTAAAAATCTGCATTAGCCGAGGATTTAATTCATCTCTCGCCTTATTATTCAGCTTTTACCAGCACAAGGGGTTGGGTGAGGGGACAGAGCACTTACCCTAAATCCAGTGGTCAGCTGAAGTCCATCTCCGCGAACTAGGCGTCCGATTATTATTGTCCTCGCGAGGGAGCTGGCCTGTATGCATGCCATAGAGCATACACCAAATAGCCTTCATGCCGTTTGGCATTGTCCTCAAGCCCTTGCGCTATTCTCGTCTCCATAATAACCATAATAATCGGAATAATCTCGGAACAATTCGCGAGTGGCAAGCTAGCTCGCTCTCTATCAACAATAACCGACACTATTCATGAATCATTGTCTACAATGTCTAGTCTACAATCTCTAGTCTGAGCCTTGAGTATGTAGTATTTGGTGTTTGCTGACACTTTAACAAAATAAACTACTAAATACATAGATTATTTATCTTAGAATTTATCCTAGACGTTAAACTCAGTAAGAACTTCTCATGTTCCGAGATCTCCTATTCCGGAGGAACAAAACAGAGCACACTATCGTTTGTTTATAAGACTAGTAAGCATCTTGTTGCTCTAAAGTTATAAAGCGTAGGTGTTAACACTGTGAAATAGGTAAGCATATATACACAGATAGTTTCCTAGATTCAACAACACTTTGCCTGGCTATATAACAGCCGTGCCTTGTTTTAAGATAAGACCAAAAGAACCAGCCGGGATTAGTCTCGTTGATTCGATGTGCCAGCTCGTAATGATGTCGCGGGTGTCAGCTATAACTTAAAGCTTTGTTACACTCACACACACATACACACACGCTGACACATTAGCTCTTTAACCTGATACGTTTGTTCGTGTTGTGTGTTGTCTCATTCGACCTAATTGCCCGTACATGTTACCTCAGCTATTATACTGTCTGCTCTTGCTTCGACTCCCGCTGCATGCTTACCCACCTGGTACCGAGCCTTCACCAGTACAAGTACCGTTTTTTGAACTTATTCCTATCGGCTTATAAATAAAATCAGGTATTATGTTTATCAACATATTAGCTTGGTTTTTTTAGAAATATAACGTTATCGGTAACCTTATTTTTAGTAAGGAGCTTAAATATCAACTAAATTGTTGTTTATTGATGGAAAAA